TACATGTGGCTTTGGAAAGATTAAGGTAGCTTTGGTGATGCTTGGTGGCCGCTTATATTTGTACAAAGAACTTTCTGAGTCTACAAGTAGCTGGACTAACACAATTTACACACCCTCGGGGTTTGGCAGATCCTCTTTATTGTGTAAACACCCATCAGGAGCTTTGCGGATCATTTCCTCAAATGTCAGTACCTAAGTGTTGCATAATCCCCTTTTAAGCATGTAAGAAGACAAGCAGATTTGAGGGTAGTTTTTTTCATTATTTTAGGCTTGTCTCTTATCTAGCATACACCTCAGGAAACTTCCATACTGAAGGGGAAAGGTGAGAGCAAGTTCAGCAAAGTTAAGCCCCTTATCCTGTGCTGGATGAAACTGCTCACAGCTGGGGTTCAGAGCATCTGGGAAGAGCCAGGCTGAAAAAGCTGCTCTAGACAGGTCCTGAGCCTCTTGTGTCAGCCCATGGAACAAGATCCTGGGTCCTCACTGAGCCTAAGGCCGTTTGCAGCACAGGTGATGATGAGGAAGTTGGACATCAGCCAGTAAAGGCTTGAACAGTGTCGATAATTCTGGAGTAGAAGTGGGAACATATGGAAAGCCTTAAGTCCTACAGTACAGAGTTTATTTGATTTGTAATTCCTCAGCACATCACTCCACTGAGAGACTTCAGGCTTCTTTAAACACCCACAGAAGGAAGTTCTTCAAGGTAGGGAGTGATTCATGCCTCCCTCAATTGGGGTTAAGACATTCTGGGGGCTTGCTTAGGATATTTTCTGTCTAGCTTCCCCCAGAACCACACACATTGCTCCCACTGAGTCTGCACTAAGCAGAATTTGAGCCACTGGAAAGCTGAAGGATTTATCTAACAGGAAAACTATTACAGGATTAAAAGTCTAGGCTGGCTGTGATTGATGTGTTTTAACAATTACTACATCTTGTCAGCCTTGTTGTGCAGCACCATTCCTGTAATTAATGGGCAAGGACTTTCTAATTCTCCTCAGCGCAGCTCAAGTGGTGCCAAGACACTCGAGGTGTCCATAAAATATTGCCAAAGGGGCAGGAACGGGGCTGCCAGGGCCAGTTGTGTTACCCCACCTCGGTGCTGAAGCCTGAAATCACAGCCCCAGCAGTGATGCACCACCCACTGCTGAGCTCCCAGAGAGCCCTTCAGGGCCTCACACTTGCTTCAGGTTCAGGCACGACTCCTGGGATGGCACCTTGGTGACATGGTCACACTTCAGCGAGCACTGTGCCCCACAGGTGTCCCCAACACCCCATTTATGTGCCTGTTGCCATGGTGTGCCTGGAGGAGAAACTTTCCCACCTGGAAGCATAAATGGGATTTTCTTTTCAGGATTCCTGCTTCCCACAGGTCCCCTCACCACAGTGAAAGAACAAGGGAGCTGAGGAGTGGGAGGGACACAGACTTAGGGCTGCTCTTTTTGGTGTGAAGGCCAGCTTAGTATTTCTGACCCTCTGTCAAGGTTTCAAAATCTGGTTTTCAAGCCTAGCATGTCTGTTTTGTAATATGCTTCAGACATCAGTTCCCAAATGTGGATGAGTCACTTGCAGACAACAGTGACACAGCTCTGGGCACCACTGTGAGGCAAAATTTTTCATATTTTCAAGCTGTGTGGCGTTCTGAGAGATGTTTACTTCACCACATCTCTGTCATCTTTTGATGTTAATACCTGTGTCAGAGTGATTTCATGGAGGCTGTCCTGGGTATGAAAGGGAATCCATGGTGCAGTGTAAGATATGCTCTTCTCACCATAGAGATAATTCTGTGGTACTTCATGCTGAAGGATTTCATTCATTAGTTCTCTAAGCCAGCCTAAGGCACCTGAACTACAAATATTCTAGAAGTAGGTGCCTAATGTCACCATATCAGAATCACTTTGAAAAAAAATCAGATTTTCATTATACCTAAGCAGTATTATTACTGACAGTGGGCATTGAAGTTTTCTGTACAACAATATAACCATGTCCCAGATTTTTATATATACAGTCATAGAATGGTTTGGGTTGTAAGGAACCTTAAGTATGATCTAGTTCTACCCCTCTGTTGTGGGCAAGGACACATTCCACTAGACCAGATGGCTCCAAACCCCACCCAGCCTGTGCCAGGGCCTCCCCACCCTCACAGGGAAAGTTTTTTCTTTAACATATAATCTAAACTGACAATCTCTTAGTTTGAAGCTATTTCCCTTGTCCTGTCACTCCAGACCCATGTAAATTGTCTCTCTCCATCTTTCTTGCCAGCTCCCTTCAGGCCCTGCAAGGCCACCCTGAGCTCAGCCCAAAGCTTCTCCTCTGCAGGTGAACAATCCCAGCTGTGCCAGCCTTTCCTGCCAGCAGAGCTGCTCCATCCTCTGCTCATCCTGGAGCCTCCTCTGGCCTGGCTCCAGCAGCTCCAGCTCCTCCCTGTGCTGGGACAGGGCTGGGGCAGCTCTGCAGCTGGGGGCTCACCTGAACAGGGCAGAGGGGCTGAATCCCCTCCCTTGATGGCCACGCCCTGGGATGAGCCCAGGACAGGGTTGTCTTTGTAAATGCTTGGATAAACTCACCCCCACCCTGCAAATGCAGAGCAGTGACACCAGATCCTCCAGGGATCCCTCTGGGGATCCACAGAGAGGAGAATGAACCCAGGAGAGTAGAGAGCACAGCATCCCCATGTCCAGAGCTAATGGAAAATTAATGTATATGCTATCAATATTGATTCCATAGCGTGCTAGCTAAAGCTGCACAAGGTCAGCTCAGTGTGATAAAGCATTATTCTGTTAGAGCTGTGCTCTGTATTCTCTGTCTGCTCAGTTTTGGTGCAGCCAAGCCAGCCACTCAGGCATGTGTGAGCCTAATTCTGATTCCAGCCGCCACATGAAGCCTTTCACATCCCGGATTTATTACTGTGTGCTTGCTTGGAGCCCTCAGCTCTGCTTTCCTGAGTAGCTATTTGCTTCATGCAGATTCAGCTGTGGGTGATACCAAAACATTGTCAGCTGTACATTCTTTTCTCCTTCAGAGACTTGTAAAGGAAGAAACCAAAGGATTTCAGGGTACGCTCACTTCCCAAAGCCAGACTTTTGATTAAAGTGACGTTTCTGCATATTTACAGGAGCCTTAACAGAACACAGGGCTCTTGGCACTGTCTTGAAAAGGTGTCTGTGTGGAAGAACAGTCAGTAGTTTCCAAGCAATCAAATAACAACAAAACTGAGGAACCTGCTCCTTCTTTAGGACTCAAATGAGGAAAATGGCTCAACTCCTTCTTTAATATTTGTCTTATACAGGCTCCACAAAACTGCTGCTAGGAGAGAATTGGATTTGGAAGGAAAATTGTACCTGGTTTATTTTACCCAGTTGTAAAGCAGATCTTGAATGAGTGAAGTAGAAGCAGAAATGACAGGAGATTCTAAAAGGTATCAAAACTACCTGCAATTAATTTCATGACTGATCTTCTTATATGAAATTTGGGAAAGGCATTTTGGGTTCTGTGTTCTTCCTCTGATGTGAGAAGACTGGAAAACTTTTAATCAGATCCCCTCGTATGATGTGCAATGAGCCATGGACTGAGCAGAAAGAAACTGCACAAGACTAAGTCTTAGAAGCCTAATGTAAAATAAGATTTTTTTTTTAATGACAGGATGTAATAAATATACAACATAGCTCAGGTTTATTGTTATAAAAGCCCAATAGTTTTCATCACTGATCTTGTATGCATAGAAACCAGACTTCCAAAGACAATATGCTCATGGAGAATATATATGGATTCTGAAAGACATAAATTGTTCAAGTGGTAAAAAGCCCTAAAACTGTAATTTCCTTGTTAGCAAAGTCTGCAGTGTATTTTGTTGTGCTCATTTCATTGTCAGCAGGAGGATTAAAGAATTTTTTTCTTAATTTGTGCTGTTATTGGCCACCTCTGGTTCTCAATTTCCATTGTTGTGTGGCTAAAACAGTAACCCCAGAACTGTGGTGGAATCCTGCCCCCACCTACCCCTGGTCCTCCAAACTCTTGCCAAGGTTTCTCCTCCCGGACACCCAAAATCAAGGATGTCAATGGCATAATTTGTATATTAGTTATGAAATAGCCAAATTTCACTGTAGACATCTCAGCATTGCAGTTGTCCCAGCGGGTCCAAGTACAGAAAAATCTTTATAAAATCTGGTGAGGTGCATGATTCAGTATTCAGAAAACACAGTGAGTGTGTATACACAGTGAGTGTGTATACCCTCCTAGTGCAACCCAGCCTCTTTTCAAACAATTCCAGCAAGAACTCCTCCTCTCCTCTGAGAGTTCTTTCTCTGTTCTGTCAGCTCTCCAGACTGGAATGATTATCATAATTGATAATCATGCTGGAATGATTATCTTCAGATTATGTTTTGTCTCCCCAAGCATGCAAGCACATAGAAAGTACCTGCAACAAAGGCAGCATTGGTAAATGTAATTTTGTGTTAAGACCAGCAAATTGGAGACATACTGCAGCTTTTGGTTCATTCTAATAGATGCAAGCCTTGGAAAACCAGTTGTGTATGACCACTGATGAAAAATGAATGAGTCAGACTGGCTTGCATAGGGGAAAATGCAAGCACTCAAAAGAAAAACCAATATTCAATTAAAATCTAAAAATAATCAAGTGTGAAAGATTCCTGTAAGAATTAAATCTTCGTACTGAATTTTTTGCCAGAGGCATTGAGGGAACTATTTTATGATGAATACATAACAGAAGTATTCTTCTGAGTGTTTAAGCTACCACTGTAACTACAGTTGATGAACGTTTTGGGAGCTGTTGGATTAGTCACCGAATAAAAATAAACACCTAAATGTACTTGCATAGCACATTTGCATAAAATAACAGTTCCCTCTCCAAAGCTTAAGTCTTTTTTCTCTTGTCTAGCCTTTAAACGTGAATCAAGGATTCTCTTTCTTAAGTAGCACCTTTTTATTGCCAGTAAGACAAGACTGGTAACAAAAGAAGACTCTAAATAGACCACATGAGGCCATTGGTGGTTCATGCTTTGAGATAAGGATTTTTTTATTAGAGCTTTGCTGTGATGTTTTAAGATTTGCTGCAGGTTCTTAAAAATGAATAGGGATTGTTCTATTCTGAACTGTCAGCAGTTTGGAAACTTAAAACATCCAGGACATGTCTCAAGAAATCCAGTTGTTCTCTTTGATCCTAGATTAAAGGGCCTTTGGAAATTTCAGAGCTATGTAGTTTCTTACACAGTTCCAATTAACACGACGCTTGAGCTTTATTCTGTGAATGTACAATAATGTAGAAAACTCCTTGGAATTCCCTCATCAGCTATATTCTATTTAAAAATACATGTATTGGTTTTATATCAACATCCTCAACCACATTCAATACTCCATTTATACCTTTAGGTTTAGTAATTCACAGAACTTCAGCTTCACAGATTCTTACCAATAAATCCCAAAATGCATGCATGGCTTGGTTTAAGAAAGATATTTTACTTGTGTTTCATACACAAAAAAAACTGATAATCAACAGTGGCTTAAAAAATTAACACTACTCCACTTTTCCACAAGTGTACAAAAAAGAAATAATGAATTTACATTCAACGGTAAAGCTTAAAGTCCACTCTAATAATAGTTGCATTGACATTCACATACACAAGCACAGAATAAATATTTCAGGATTCTTATAAGAGCATACAGCATACATACAGTACTTTAATTTTACATAAGGAGTGTTAGTAGGGTCAGAAATTCATAATCTCATAGAAAAGTAAAACTAAAATCAGAAAAGGTCGTGTGGGAGGTAACACCAAGGTACTGCACAGAGCTAGCAGGTTAGTAAATCCATCTGTGTGAGGAGTTTGCTTCTGCTTCTTCATATTAGGACAGTTTGTTGCAAAGGTGTATTCAAAGTGCAGAATAATGCAAAAAAAAAAAAAAAAAAGAGAAGATATTCTTGTATTTATTCATACATGCAAGAGGCAGCCCCCAAGTCACCCGACAGAATAAAGCTGTTATTGGCAAGTGGCCGATATAGTACAGATGTTTCAGGCAATTTTTCTAAAGCACTTTAATAGCAGCAATTGTAATTTATAATGGCTCTAGATTTGACTTCTGTTTGGGTTAAAGGGCATCATATTTCTTTAACATTTACAGCTATATTTCTTTATAAATAAATATCTCAAATAACAAATAGCATAGTTAATGTTACTTTTTTCTCTCTTTTGCATAAGTGTCGTGGAAAAACTCTGACCTTTTCAGAGACATTATGTGCAAAATAATGTGGAAATAGGGACACACAGCATCACAGTTACATTCCTGGGATGTCAGCCCAGCCCTTCTTACTCTCTGAGGGCTAGCCTTACCAGGGTAATGCAGGGCTTTAAGAGACAATTTTTCCAATGGCTTGCTTGGTAAAGAGATAGAATTTATGGTGTCTTAAAGAGCTGTAAATGTGAGGTTTCATTTGAAGCAGTGTGTACAATACGTCATGTATAGGAGTCAGTATTTCCACACAGCGACTTCTCAGGATTTGACAAGTCTGCTCATCTCCTTTCAGACATTTTCTCCCCAGCCTGAACATCTTTGAACATTTGTGTTCATTAGGTGTTTCCTCTGTTGCATATTTACCAGCTCTTCTTGCATTTTATAATCTGATCTCATATCACCTAGCTGACATCTGCACACAAATATTTCCAATCAGATAGAGGGTGCAAAACATTAAAACTTTTAAACCTATCCTGTAAGTGTCATCAAGACAGGAGCACAGGAACCACAGTGCAGAGTCCAACCTCTCACTGGCTGTACTGTGAAGATTCTCCTTTTCGGCGTAGGAGAAAGGAAACTTGTGTCTGCTTTTTAGATTCTGAAAACAAGCCAGAGTGGAGAAAAAGAGTTAACACCAGACTTAATAAAGCTTTTAAGACAAAACCTGTTAAGCAATTTAGACAGACACTGAATTTCCTGCTGATTTTCTCAAGTCTGTACATACAGGAAATTTGTTAACAGTAGGAAGAAGTTGGGATTTGCTACATAGGAGAAATCTGCCATTATTACAAAAACTGGCTAAGAGGGTTTTTTCAGTATAACTCCCTCACTGGTCACTGTTCTCAGTGGTGCTGTTGCCCTTTTCTTTTTTCTCCTGAGTCTTGTTTCCCTTCTTCTTTTTCTTCTTTTTCTTGGTCTCTTCTTTCTTGCCAAAGGTTATGAAGTCACTTTTGTCAATTTGGCTGTTTGGTGGCTCCTGCCGGATGGAGATGATTGCAGGAGATCCTGGGATAATGAATTTGTCTGGCAACTCACCAGGACCACCTTGTTTGGAATTGCCCGGTCCAAATTTAAAGGTCCAGCTGTTGCTGTTCACACCAGCTCCCACTGGGGGGGACACCTCTCCCGCCTCAGGTTCTGAAAAAGTCAAAACAGCAAGAAAAGCTTAAAGCATCTTTAAACACAGGCACTCAGTGAGCAGCAGCTTTCTGTTTGAAAGGCTTCAGCCTACAGTGAGTCTCGCTTGTCTGGCTGCTCTTCTGGGGGTTATCCACTGGTTCCTGTCCAGTCTGCTCAGTGATTGCATGCACTGACCCCCTCCTCATGCTGTTGGGTGCAACAGGCTCTGGATCCCATTTTGTTCTTTTGGATTTGAAGTGTTTGGAGTAAGAGATCACTGTGATGCAGCCCACTGTAGTGTTTTATAGCAAGAAACGTGAGCACGTGCATTACACGGCAAAAGGGTGTGTTTGAGGGTTAGAAGAGTGGCCAGGGCAGGGGGCGACAGCCTTGGCATTACGTACATCCAGGTGGGTATTTTAGCAAACCATCCTGTGATGGATGTGTCCAGGAATCCTCGTGCAGGGGAAGAAGGGACAGTGTCAAGAGGGTGGAATGGAGCCAAGCTCTGCTCAGTGGTGCCGAGCAACAGGACAAGAGGGGAATCCAGGAATGGATGCCCAGGAAGTTCCACCTGAACATGAGGAAGAACTTTCCTGTGCAGTGACTGAGCACTGAACAGATTGCCCAGAGAGGCTGTGGGGTTCCCCCCACTGGAGATATTCCAGAACCATCTGGCTGCAATCCTGTGCCGTGTGCTTTGCTTGAACAGGGAGGTTAGACCAGATGAGCCACTGTGGTCCCTTCCAAGCTGACCCATTGTGTGACTCTGAGCTGGTGCATCCCAGAGAGGAGCCTGAGGCCAACCAGCATGTGTGTTTGTGTGTAGGTATGGATGCAATGTGGCTGAGCAGCAGACACAGCCCCAGAGGAAAACCAGAAAGAACTGAATAGACTGGGCAGAGACACTGCAGGACTGCTTCCATCAGGGAGCACAGTCTGGTCTCAGAAATATTCATGGTCTTCACAGAATCATAGAATACCCTGATATTCTCTCCAGATCACAGTGTTTTATACAGGCAAATATAAAGTGAAGTTTTATCCCCAGTTTTAGGCTTGCAGGATGAAGTAAGTTTTAACTTTGTTTCCATTATTTTGATTAGATTGAGTTAATCAGATTGAAATGTCTGCCTATGTTGCTCTGAAAAGGACAAATTTCTAGCAAAATAAAATGTTACAGAATAAGGATTTCCTGTGAGAGAAAGCCTTAAGACTTTGTTGTTTTCTTTCCTTTTATACTTCGAACATTTGTTGCAATTTACATAACTGCCAATTTTGAATAGGAACAGCATATCTATTTTAATGTGTCATGGTAAGTGTTTTAACAACTGTGATCAGGGGAAAGCTCAATGTTTATGCACTGATGCTAAAGCCCTCAAATCAGATGAAAACTTTCTTATGTACACCCTGAAAGTGCAGTAACAAAACATGGGACTCTCACCCTTGTAAGACTCTTAGCCACAACAAATCCTCACAATAGCGCACAAACAATTCCAATACCACTGATCTGATTAAATCTCAGCATCATGAGAGCTGTCCACCTGAAGAGGCAAAGATGTTTGGGGTAAAGAAGGAGGGGAAACTGTGCTGGAAAAACATTTCAGAGGGATTCCATGTCCCTTGGAAGAAGAGACAAGGACACTGGATGGAGGAGAAGAAAAGGAGAAGTTCAAGGTTTCCTGCTGGTTAAAGAGGGCAGGAAGAGAAAACAAAGCAGACATTCTAGAGGGAGATCCCCAATGTTTTTCCAGCAATCCCCTGGTACTGGCTGCTCTGTATTCCTGCAGCTGTAATGAAGAATGCTGTATCAACAGCTCCTGTATTTCTTAGTCTTTAATGATTCTTCATCTTCTCTTATTTTGCTTGTACAATTTTCTATTTTATGAAACAAATGGTGTGTGGTGCATGCAGACATAAGGCTCTGCTTTTAGGTTCAAAAGCTGAAAAGACATTTTTTTGCTGTCTGATAAACTTTCTCCTGCCTGGCAGCAAAACAAGGCTGGGAAGCTGGATTCCTTTTTTAAGCTTTCCTGTAGTGATGCAGCAGGTCCATGTACAAAGCCCAATAAATGTGTGTACAAAACACATCAGAACCATCTCTGAAGCCATCTGTGTGAGAGGTTTGGCACATGAAATCTTTGGCATCTCTGAACCTCCACGGCACATGGACATGACAGGGCTGCTTTTACAATGTGATATTTAATCAAGAACTAGAAGACACTGTACATGTCTTTTCACCCTAAGATTGTATTTAATGATGAAGAAGCTTTGACTTTCTGTTCTTTCCAGGAGCTGCTGACATTGTTTTAGTGACTTTAACCTCTCGAGTCTCAAACAGCTTTTCTGAAGTTATTATTAATGTAAAAGTTCCTCTGTTTTATCACTTGTAGCTTTTCTGTATATTTCCTATGGTCCTAAGTATCAGCTTTCGATTTTTTACATGTTTCCTGTAAGTAACAACTATGTTCTAGAAAGCCCTTTCATAATAAATGCATTAATATGAACCAGCTCTCATTTCTGCTTAATAAATTGTTTTGTTCAGGTATCTTTTATATCACTTTTGTTTCTCTGAGATGATAAACTACAAAGGTGGAAAATGTGTGTCTTGGCCTTTTTCCAAATTATTAATCAATTGTCTTTCTGCTGCAATAGAAAATGTGAGCTTTCATATTGCACATAATAAATTAAGCCCTACTGGACAAATAAATCCTCTCTTTCTCCCAACAAACCTGCACAATATGAATTCCAAACACTGGCACAGACCCAATGGTCTTTTTCTGTTCCTGGTAGGAAAAAGACAACTGAAGGTGACCTCAAATCATGTTTGACCCAGCCTTGCTCTGGCTGGGGAGAGCCCTGTAGCAAAGAATAGTAGAAACATTACTTTGAAGAGTACAGGGTGAGAACTCTGTGGGCTGCAGGGCCACCACAGCACAGCTGGAGCTGCAGTGCATGGCTGGGCTGCTTTGATGTGAGCATAGAAACATAAAATCATAGAATGGCCTCTGTTGGAAGGGACCCCAAATTTTGTTTGAATCTGTTGTATTGATGATTCCAAGATTGTAGAAAGTCTCTGTCTTTCTGCCCCGCTGCCAAAGCAGAAGCCATAATTCGTCTGTGCTGGTTTCAAGGCTGTTTATTCTGTTTAACATGTTCTGCTGCCCTGCCGCAGCTCTGTCCTGCAGGGCAGCGTGTGGGGCTCTGCCCTCAGTGGGATGTTACAAACATTAAATACCACAAACTACCTGTGCTGGATTTACAATAACGTGCCAATATCTGTCACCTACGTTGGACAGTGTGTCCCCAGCCTAAACCAACAGAAAAATGCCAACACCACAGTGAAACATGGAGGGCATGAAGAAGGAGAAAAAGGACAAGACACACCCAATTTCCTCCATCTTGTCCCCTTTGGACCCCTTATCTAGAATCCTAAAATTTTACTTTTGCACCCATGCCACACTTAATTATTACTTATATCAAACACTCAGAGCTTGTAATTCATCCCGTAAGACTGAAAACTCTTTTCCATGGACAGAGATCAGAGTCAGTGTCTCTGGGGCTCTGTCCAGAGGGGTTCCTGACCCCTGCCGGGGTCCCAGACCTTCCAGGGCAGTCAGAGGGAATCCCTGGATTCCCACAAAATTTCACCCAGTTCCAACTCCCGCTATGTGCAGGGATACCTTCCTCTAGATGAGGAGGCTCCAAGTTCCGTCCAACCTGGCTTTAAATACTTCCAGGGATGGGGCAGGCACAGCTTCTCTGGGCAGTCTGTGCCAGGGCCTCACCACTTACCTTACATTCTTCCTAATAACTGATCTCAACCTACTCTCTGTGTGTTTAAAACCATTTCCCTTGTCCTGTCACTCCAGGCCCTTCTAAACTGTCTCTCTCCATCTTGTGCACTCCCTTCAGGGGCTGGAAGAGGCAGTCAGGTCACCCTGAAGCTTCTTTTCTCCAGGCTGAGAAATCCCAGTTCTCTCAGCCTTTCCTGGACAGGTGCTCCAGGCCTCTGATCAATTTATTAGGCTGAACACAGGACATGGGACATTGACAGTGACTTGATATTATCCATTTGACCACCCAAACAGAGTAACATGCAGGAATCCAGGGTATCCCTGAGGTAAAAAATCGCCCGTATGAAACCTCCTGCCAGACTAATGGGGTGCACATCCACACCTGCACTACTGAAATCTAATTCAGAGCAGGAAAATGACCCTTTAATCTGCTTCTGACTTGGCAAATCAACTCACCAGATGAAGTCTGGTAACATTTGTCACAAAAACATTTGACTTCATGCATCCAAACACAAAAAACCCATCCCACCTACCCTGGAATCAGGATTCTGTCAGATTCTGTCAGATTTTTGGGGTTTGCCTGCACTTATGTCTGGTTTTGTCCCAGCCCCTGAATATGTTTGTTGTCCATACCAACTAAGCGTTTTAATACTCCTTAATACTCACTAAGCCAAAGAAAACTAATTATCCTTACAGCTGTATGGAGAGCCTGTATACAAAAAGACAGAGACACAGAGAATCTAATGAGTTAATAACCATAATTTCCTACAAGTGGGGCTTCTCCAGTCCTCAGGAAATGTCTCTTCTGCATGATTTACCTGAGAACATGTGTGTTTATCTGTATTAGCAGGCTGGAAGGTCACAGTTCAGCTGTACAGACAAAGTCATAGTTTTAGGCATTTCAGATCAAAGATAAATGTCATTTACTACCTACTTTCCAAGGCTTCCTTGAACATCTCTTCTGTTTCTTATCAGCAGGGATTCAATAACAAAAGCTTTCTACTTATATGTCATTTTACATTTAATGAGATTAGTTGTTCTTCTCTTGCATATTTTCTACATCTTTAATTGAATGCTTCGAATTTGTTTACTAAACTTAGAGGAAAATCTAAGTAAAACAAACCCCCTGGTTATATTTATAACACTTAATTTAAAACATTATACTTCTTTTCTTCCTACAGCTAGAGAGGGGGGTTGCCAGAGTTCATACATAAAAGCCCAGAA